GACACTTATTAGAGAGGGATCTTTAATAACACTGATGATGTCTCATATACACATATATGTGTAAAAAAATGAATAAAATGAGGGACCAGGGGATCTTCTTAGCTTTGATCAAATATTCAGGCTCATTTAGCTCTCAGAGTCACTCAGAAGGATAACAGGATCAAAGCATTTCAAGCAGGCAGCATCTGATAATTCTGTTCAATGGGAGAAGTTCTTGGAACAACCCGTGATGCAGACCGGGTCCTAATCTCTGCCCACCTGCCCCCTGCAAGGGTCAGCTTGGGTGTGAGATGAATTTACACCCATGAGAGTGACATCTCCCCTAGAGTAGAGTCCTCATCCATTTGGAATCCATGCCTCTTGTATCAAGTTCATGAGCCTAGCTTCCAGACCCCTGGTAAGCACATGGCCAATTACAAGGATCACTGCATTCAAAGATGCCCAAGCTATGGGTTCCAACATTGTTATAGTTTATCAGAAATTCCTCCTAGCCAAGATACAACTTATCAAGCAGAGGTAATTTTTACCACAGTCAATTTTGTCTAGAAATTTAGCTGACATTCTTCCTTTCTTTGGTTTCCTGAAAAGAGCTAGGAAATAAGCCTAAGATTAAACTTAGGTAGAAAGGGTATTAAACTTTTACCCACAAGAATGAAAATGATTTACCGTTCTTTTTTCCTTTACTATACTAAGCACCACTTTCTTTGTCAAATTATTTAAAAGAAGCACATTCTGTGTTTTGTTATCCAAAAAAACTCACTGTGATACTTAATATAAAAAGACTTTCAAGGTTTTTAAACTGCAGATCATTTAAGCAACCTAATTAGATCAAACACACCTGGAATTTCTGAGTATGTACATGAGGTAAAAAATTAGTTACAACATCCTGATTTTAAAAATCTCAGATCGCTCACAAACCTTCTGAATGCTCAATGTCAAAAAAAAAAAAAAAAAATGATGTGAAGAATTAAATACTATTGACCACAAGAGGGAAGCCTAGGCCCGTTTTTACTATGCTTTGGAGGGGAAAAGGAAAGTGATGCTTCCTGAGTACCTTTAAAATGTTCACCAATAAACACAGTGTATAAGACAAAGCCACTGTCATCCCCACCTGAGGCTTGCATTTGTGGTTGGCGTGGTTTTGGTGTTTCGAATGGACTTGCTCTTTGATTCCACGTATTACTGGCTACAGAGTCAGACACATGATTTACAAAACTACTTTCCCACTTTCTAAGTGAGAACATGGACCGAAAGACCAGACTTCTGTAAATCTTGGTTTCCTCAGAATAAATGGGAAATATGATGGTGGAAAATATAATGGTAATATTTAATATGATGTTTATTATCTTATTGGGCTTCTCTAGTGGCTCAGTAGTAAAGGCTCCACCTGCAATGCAGGAGACCCGGGTTCTATCCCTGGGTTGGGAAGATCCCCTGGGAAAGGAAATGGCAGCCCACTCTAGTATTCTTGCCTGGAGAATCCCACGGACAGAGGAGCCTGGTGGGCTACAGTCCATGGGGTCACGAGAGTCAGAGAAGCCTTAGAGACTACACCACCATCACCATTAAAATTAAAGTATTTTAATTGGTAAGGGAGAAAGAGTGCAACAAAAAAGACTGTCATGGCTTGATAAAAACATTGGTGTTGATATTATAAAACATTTTACAGCACTGGCCATTTCTGTTGTATCATCCTATCTAAGTCTTGAAATGACCTGTGTGTTAGATACTACTCATCCACTCAACGTCTCCCTTCTTCTACTGTGATCACCTAGCTCCGTTTTACTCTGTGCTTTAGCCATGCTATGTTAATGCGAACAAGAACCACTTTTTTGTCATGACCTCTATTTTTTTTTTAAATGTCTTTCATTTATCGTAACATTCAGACTTGAAAACTAACTACTAACTAACTAAATACTTCTTTTTTAATCATTTTCTTTACCACCTTCCTAGTTCTAAGCCAGTCAGTCAGCAGGCCTAAGGAGTCATTCCTCACACTTCACTTTGCCACAGATTGGCAAATATGACATATGGAATTAGATATGGCACTGAAAATAATTTGCCAAAATATGGAGGGAACAGGAAGTGGTGATGAAGGAGTGAATCAGTCATTGATTGGGCAGAAGGAGGCTCTCAGGCTTCACTGGGTTTTTTCCCAGATGAATCTTTTCTCCACAGTTTCTCAATTACCAAGTTCAGTCCATGCCTGTTAGAACAGACAAAGAAATTGAAAAGAACAAACTGGCCCTTGATGCTCAAATCATAGCAGTGGAGCCTGTGGAAATATTCTGAGATATGGGTTTGAAGTTTCCAGCTCCTCCCCTGACATGGTTGTGTGTGTGTATGTGTGTAATTTCTTATTTACAAAAACTACACAAAGAAAAGTGACTTTGAACCCCTGAGAGCCTGTACAAGCTCGGGTCTTTGCATCATCAGATGTCAAATGGGATAAAGAGAAAATGGATGAAGCTCTTAGACTCTCACCTTCCCAGGGTGGGACGGGCCATGTTGCTCAGCACTTCAGTCGTGTCCGCCTCTTTGCGGTCCCAATGACTGTAGTCCACCAGGCTCCTCTGTCCATGAAATTATCCTGGCAAGAATACTGGAGTGGGTTGCCATTTCCTTTTCTAGGGGATCTTCCCAACCCAGGGACTGAACTAGCATCTCTTGCATTGGCAGGCAGATTCTCTTCCCACTGAGCCACCTGGGAAGCCCCTTGTCTCTATGGTAAGGAATAAAACTAAGAATATTGCATCTCCCAGACTCTCCCTGGCTCCCAGTTTCTGAATGTGGCCTACATTCTGCCAGTGAAACTTCGTATCGTGAGATTTGGGAAGCACAGACAGGCTGAGGGTTTCTCAGGCAGCAGACACAAAGGTTCACAGACGAAGATCTTGACATCATCCTTGGGTTCTCAAGACATTCCTTCCTCTTGGGTTCTAGAGGAGCTGTGATGTCAGCAGTGGCTCCTACAGGTCCCTCCCTCTCAGAGTTAGGGGTCTGCACTGACCTGTGCTCCCCCAGGCTTCCTAACAGTTTGAAGATATAATCCCCTATAATAGAGTAGAGTTGTAATAAATAACTCTGCCTAGGGTGTCCTCAGGGATTTCTATTTCCTGAATCAATTCTGACTAGTACAGAAGCTCCTCACCTATTAATGTCAGAGACAACCTCATTCAGGTACCCTCAGAAATTCCCTCAAACGCACAGGAAGTTGGAGGTCAGGAAAAAACAGGGAACCGTGATTAATGTCCAAATAGAAACTTCTTTCTCATCACATAGAAAGGGAACTGAAAGTCTGTTCTAAAGAGTCCCCAGTTTAGTCATCTCAGGAGGAGAACCAATCAATGCCTTAGGACTAAATGACATCATACGTTGCTGGGCAACACTTGGGTTGAATGTGCTATTACAAGATGAAAAATGCAAAGATGTAATCTCTGAGTTTACTATACATTTACTGAGCATCTTGTAAGAACAAGCCATTATGGCAGCCAGCAAAGGGCAGGCATGGAGAAGTCATTCTTGGTTAAGTGTGATTACAGGAGGTTGGGATAGAGTTGATGATGAGCCTACAGTATAAGACCACATGATAAGCAGCGACTTACTCTGTAGAACTCTCATCTGGCTCATTCCACTATCTTCAGGAAGCACAGTCCTCAACAACTTTAAGGCAGAACTGTTCATGCATCCTCCCAGTGATATAGAAGTCCCTATCAGAGGATGTTCAAAACTCTTAGTTACAATCAACCATGTATAGAGTGTTGACTCTTATGAATGGTGAGGAGAGTTTTAGTGCAAGGCAAGGCCTCAACAGTGTAGAAAAGAGTATGAACCATCCACGCTAAGTTATGTATTGAGATCTTAAGCGGTGAACTCACCATCTCGTGAGCCGCGTCTCTGCCAGTTTTCTCCTCCTTGGAAGTATCTGGATCCCAGCCCTTTCTGGGTGGCTTAACATTTCTTATACTTTGCTATATTTTCAAAAACATGAAGGCCCATCAACATGACCTAACTTTCTGTATTCTTAATAGTTAGCATCAAAATAAATTCTTTGAATATGAACTTTCATCATGAGGAAAGAATGGTAAAGCATTCCTGCAGATTATATCTTTAATCTTCCATGTAAAATAAGCTCTGCCCTGTGTATATATTCATCTATCTGAGTCTTCAAAAATAGATGTGTGCCCAGCAGTCTTCTCCAATCTCCAGTGATATGAAAGTAATAAAAATTAGGAATAGGATCTCTCTTTCCAATCTACTGTCTCCAGTAACCACAACCTGTGTTCCAAGGTGCAGCTTTCCATCTCTCTCCAGCTTTGGGTGTGTTGAAACTCAGTTTCTCCTCCAATGTTCTCTATATACTAAAGAGCCAGGGATCCCAAACTCTTAGACAGAATTGGCCACCTTGGAGTTTAAGATACTTGAGGAGAATCCTCAAGTAAAAAGTGGCATCTTAAGTGAAGCTCTGTCACCTGGCACTCCCAAGATTCAGGCATTCCTCATAGCCTGACACTTTATATGACCTGGTGTCCCTTAAATAAATTCCCCAGCCGTCACAGCATGGAACCATGATTTGCCATTAACTCTCACCTTAGGATATTCCCATTGATTCTATTCTCACTAATGTGCTTCAGATAGATCCCTTTCTAGAACTTGGCTTGAGTAGGAAGAGTCTGTGGATGATTGCCCATTATTCCTGAAAACTCAATTTTTCATTCTTTTTGTTTGGTTGTGCGTTTGTTTGGTTAATTAAGAAGTTTCTTTTCATCTAATACACAAAGCTTCTCCTTTCCTGGACCCTTTGCAAGAGTCTTTCCCTTATCAACAGCAGTGTCATCTCAAAAGATTTTTCTGATTGGCTACAGCTCAACTGATTTTAAATTTTTAATCAGTCAGACTCTATGACACCTTACATTCTCTTTTCTCATATTCCTGTCTGTTCTGATCCACCTTGAGCTCTCATCGAGACACTGACCCTCCTCGAGACACCAAAGACGAAAATGGCCGTAACCAGGATCCCAATATTAGGACTTTTCATCCCTCTCCTGATCAGCCTACAGGAATCAGGGGCTATCAAAGGTAAGTGCTGAGAGAGTTCAAAACTAGGAATAAATACGTTCTGAGAGCTTCAGAGAAATGAACTGTGGACATTTGCAAGACAGTCTTTAGAATGAAAGAGAAGTGTGACGGGTGTTATGTGGGTCTAACCCTAGAATTATAATAAATTGTAATTGGAAGAGTTCTCTCCTCACCAAGAATTGGAGTAACTAAAGCCAAGAAGAGATTAGAGAGAAGTAAAGCCAAGAAGTACAACTGAGATTAGAAGAGCAAAGTTGAGCTGTGTACTGATTCATGCTATTGACTTTGATATAAACCAAACTTTCAGGGAGATATTTTCTGACAGGCATTAACAAGTTAACTTTCTGTACTTTCATTTTTCATTCCTGGAAAATTAGTAAAAGTTAAAACCTCCCTGTAATTTTGTGAGGATTAAATCAGAAAAAAATATCAGAATTTCTTGTCACCTGTTCTAAGCTATTTTTACTTTGGTAGCTATTTTTTGGCCTCTGAATCCCATCAGCCTATTTGGAGCACAGACATTATATTGAAGATCACTAGAAAGAAAAGTCATTGAAAAGCAACCATCCACCCAAGGAAGGGGGAAGGGCAGGTATGCTGATATGAGTTGCATTTCATGGACAGCCTCTTGGGACAGTAACAGCCCCAGTTAGAGTTGGACTAACAGGGCTCTTTGGTCACTATTGCTTAGTAATATTTCCCAGAGAATGGAAAAACGAGTAAGAAGTGAAGAGTCTGATGTTATTCTCTCTTATCTTCAGAGCAAATATTGTGTGGGTTTATTATGAAAAAATATTCCTCACCTGGAGTGACCCCCAAAGAGGGTGGCAAGGTGGCAGACAGACTAGAAATAAGTAAAGACTTGTGATGACAGTTGTAGGTTTCCATTGCCCAGAAAGAGCCATATATGAGGATGCCTACCATAAAAGATAACTTCCCCTGGAGTGAAAAGAGGAAGTTAGAGTGTGTGTGTGTGTGTGTGTGTGTGTGTGTGTGTGTTTATAGCTGCAAATGCGAAATAAATCCCTACGTTTATCAATGGACAGTTGGAGTTTAAAACCCACCTCTCATTTGCATACACCACAAAGGCAACATACTATTCAACTGTAGCTTTCTTATTTGAAATCAATTATCCCCTTAGTACCGATTATTCTCCCTGTCAACTATAATAGAATGTGTCCCTTAATGACAGTCTAATTTAAAGATCTTTAAGATATAAGGGAATGGTGTTAAGGTCAATCTAAATATAATCATCCCCTCAGAGGGATGCAGAATGTGGGTGTGGATACAGGAAAGTCAGTGCTCTACAATGCTACAAGGGCTCACACTTAATTATTTGGGTACCATCATCTCCAGTCATACATTTCATGGGTCTGGTCCTTAAACACAAAGCAATTTCTGATGCTAAAGTACTTGCTGTAGTCCTGATGATATACTGAGAAATTACTTAAAACTAGTCTCATTTCATCTCAAAAACAAACCCAGCATAGAAACAAAACCACAGTACAATATAATGGAAAACCTACACACAAGTTGATAAAGTGATCTACTCAAGATCACTAGGGAGCTGAATGAGAACTTGAGATTTCATTTGATTCCAAGTTCAGACACAACTTTTTAAACAGTGATTCTCTCTTCTGAGAGTTGCGGTGCTCTGAGACATGCCCTGGGATTCTGGCTTAGGGAGACTTAATTCCTAGGTCAGGAGTGTGAGGGAACATTTCTCTTACAAGAGCTGCTGCTGGATTTCTAAAGAGGGGATCATTTCCCAGTCAGTAACATGGAATTAAACAAAAGCTTCATGGAACTCCGGGCTTTCAGCCCTAATTTCCTTCAGCCCACACACTGTCCCTTGGCTTCTCCACCCCTAGCTCTGTTCACCACGAATATCCTTCCATGCAGGCCTTGTCTTCCAACTCATCCCTACTCTCCATCACTCCTCCTTCCCGCCTGGCCCTCTCTTTACACCATCCCTGCCCACACATGTGCATCTCACATCCTGGGTTCCTCTCCATCTTCCTCTCCTGGGTCCCACCCTGACCCCCTTTCTTGTCTTTTCAGAGGATCATGTGATCATCCAGGCTGAGTTCTCTCTGAAACCTGAGGAATCAAGCGAGTTTATGTTTGACTTTGATGGTGATGAGATTTTCCACGTGGATATGGAGAAGAAGGAGACGGTGTGGCGGCTTCCAGAATTTGGACATTTTGCCAGCTTTGAGGCTCAGGGTGCCCTGGCCAATATGGCTGTGAACAAAGCCAACCTGGACATCATGATGAAGCGCTCCAACTACACCCCGAACACCAATGGTACCTCTCTCTGCTCCAGTCCTCCTAGACTTGAGAATTGTAGCTTTAAACAGATGCTTGAGCTCTTTGTTTTTGTTACTGAGACTTTCCCCTCAGGGGCCTATTCTTGTCATAGGCAAACCCCACATTCTCATGCCACCAGCCCAAGAACTTCATGAGTTTTCTCCTTTCTTGATGTGCTCACATCTTGTCTTTGGCATCCACAGTCTCTCAAAGCCTTTGCCCTGAGTCCTTGCTGGGGGAGCCAGGAATGAAGTCCTTGAATATGTTATGCCGAGTACTGGTTCCCCTTTCCTGGGGAAGGGAATCAGAGCTGGGTATCAGAGACCATGGCATAGATTCTCAAAACAGTTTCAACTGCTATGTCAGCCTCGGTGGGAGGGAGAGGGGCAGGGCTAAGCAGGGAAAGCTAATTTCTGTCACTTGTCTCCCAGTTCCTCCGGAAGTGACTCTGCTCCCAAACAAGCCTGTGGAACTGGGAGAGCCCAACACACTCATCTGCTTCGTTGACAAGTTCTCTCCACCCGTGATCAGTGTCACGTGGCTTCGAAATGGCAGACCTGTCACTGATGGAAAGTCAGAGACGGTCTTCCTGCCCAGGGATGACCACCTTTTCCGCAAGTTCCACTACCTCCCCTTCCTGCCCACAACTGAGGATGTCTATGACTGCAAGGTGGAGCACTGGGGTTTGGATGAGCCTCTTCTCAAGCACTGGGGTGAGAACCGTCCTTCAGTCTCCTTTACTTCATTGTTCCTCCTGGGATGCATGTGTCTGGTTCTTAGGGACCCCGAGGATCGGCTTCACAACTGCTCCAGTTCTGGTTTCTGGTCTTTTCCCATTGCTCTGCTTTCCCCTCTTCTCATCTGTAATTCCCTGACATCATCCTGTCTTCCTCTCATTTAATTGATGAAAAAATATATATATTCTTTTGACTAAGTATCATATATTTTGTGCTAAGTGCTGCTCCCTACCACATGCATTTCTTATGCACTCTGACTTATTTTTCCCCAGAGTATGAAGCTCCAGCCCCCCTCCCAGAGACCACAGAGAATGCGGTGTGTGCCCTGGGCCTGATTGTGGCTCTGGTGGGAATCATTGCAGGGACCATCTTCATCATCAAGGGCATACGCAAAGCCAACACTGTTGAACGCCAAGGGCCTCTGTGAGGCACCTGCAGGTGAGTCTGATGTGGTCAGAGGATGACATCTCTGGAATGATTCAAGGGGAGGAAACAGAGTGAGAAAAAGAACTTGTGATGCCTTTAAGAGAAAACCATTCCAAAAGTCATGGCTCCTGATTTATCCTACTGGACAGAATCAGACATTGGCATCATCCAGTATTCCAAAGCCCCGCATTCCTACACCCCATTACATACATGTCACCAAAGATCATGCCTTCAGTCTTGGAAACTATCTCCAGTACCCAAAATAATTGTTTCACATTAAAATAGTGGGCCCAGTGATCTGGGAAAGCCAACCTCAAGATTACAACACTTCCTGGCTTATATTTCCTGAGATAAGACATCATCTTTGAAGCATTTCCAGAGCATGACTTTTTTGAGGTTTAGGGTAACTGTATGAAGTGGAAATCTCTTGGAGACCAATGCCTGCTTTTGCCCCTCCATTCTGAAAAAAAAAAAAAAATGTGTCAGAAGATCTAAGAGAAAGTGAAACATGGCCTGCTCCTTCATTCTTTCACAGAAGGTAGGAAATAGCAGTTCATGTTGGAAAGGTTGCATTTATGAGAGATCACACAAATATTAAGAGACTTTTCCAAAGTCAGGGTTAAAGGAGTAAGAGTAAGGAATCTGAAGATAAGAGCTCAAAATATTCATCTTAAACTCTATAGTAACTATGTGTGTTCTGCTACAGGTAATGGACTTTGTTAGAGAGAAGATAAATGAAGATATTTCTGCCTTAATAGCTTTACAAACCTGGCAATTCTCCAATTGTTCACCTCACTGAAGACAAGCATGTTTCAGCACATCCCAGTCCTTTACTGACCCTAAGAATAAGATGCCTTCCATAGGCTCCAAATTCTAATTTCTAGTTATTCCCTGTCTACTGCTCCTTCTTGTATTGTTTTTCCCTCCATTTTCCACTGTCTTATTATCACCATGTAATGCCTTTGGAATAGACCCCATAGGATCCTTTTTTTCCTGCTATGGAATCTTTGGAAAGTTCTATGGGGGCATCTCATGTATACTTACTACTTGGAGTTTCTTCTAACTGTGATTGTGATTTTTCTGAATACAGTAAACTTCAAGTGGGTCTCAGGTGAAGTTTTTGGTGTCTGAGTCAGTTCTTCATGGAGGCTGGGGAATATAGGTGATCCTTTCATCCTGAAATGTCTAAATGGTAAATGTATCTTATAGACTTTGAAGTTAATCAGAAATATCCTAGTTCATTAGAACTCTAGTCTCATTTGGAGGATCTGCCAACAATCCACTTGTCATGGTCTGATCCTCATCTGGAAAACACTAGAGTATTTATTTGTTTTAGGTTTATTTGTTGAGAGATGACTTAGCAACAAGTTCATAGTCTGGTTTGGATTCTTATGCCTCTGAATCAATGAGATATTTGGATCATGAATAGAGTGAATCTCAAACCTTAAGGCAGATTTCTGATAATGGGTGGCACAGATGGTGGGGAGCAGATGGTGGTGGAGTGGTGAGCACCACAGAAGCACATCCATATACGTAAGACGATTGGCATATCAGCACCATGTATTTTAGACTTAAGGAAGGATGAGATTGGACACCGAAGATTGGCATTCTCTATTTTCTCAACATGCATGTGTGTATGCTAAGTTGCTTCAATAGTGTCCAACCCTGTGCAACCCCACGGACTGTAGCCCCCTAGGTTCTTCTGTCCATGGGGATTCTCCAGACAAGAACAATGAAGTGGGTTGCCATGCCCTCCTTCAGAAGATCTTCCTGACCCAGGGATCAAACCTACGCCTTTTGTCTTTTATGTCTCCTGCATTGGCAGGTGGATTCTTTATCACTAGCACCACCTGGGAAGCCCTTTTCTTAACATGTGGTGGTGGCGGTTTTGTTGCTAAGTTGTGTCCAACTCTTGAAACCCCATGGACAGTAGCCTGCCAGGCTCCTGTGTCCATGGAATTCTCCAGGCAAGATTACTGGAGTGGGTGGTCATTTCCTTCTGCAGGGGATCTTCCCAAACCAGGGATCAAACCCAGGTCTCCTGCATTGCAGGCAGACTCTTTACATTTTTTTAACATAAACTTTATCTTTTCTTAACATAGACTGAAGCTAATTTGCATCACATTGAATTATTATGAAAATAAATAAAAATGCAAGCAAATTTAGATATCATGCTTCGTGATAGTAATATTCCATATAATATAAATTCCACTATTTTTCTTCAAAGTTTTAAGAGAAGCAAAACAAAAGCAAGCCAAATCAAGGCAGCGTGACCTTGAAAGGATAGCAGAATATGCCATCACAAAATATGCCTCTTTGGCATAAAGATTATTTTGAGTCAATAGGTGATTTTAGACAATAGAACTTAAATTATTTATTGCCCATAGGAGTCTGCTATAGTAAATACTTCTGGTTTAGTAGAAACTCAAATACAAAAAATTAAGCCACGTGGCTAAAACAGATTAATCCCTCTTCCCATAAAGTATTTTATTTGGTACCAAATGGTTTGGTTCTTGAGGGCCCTAACTAGATGCATATTTCAGTCTCTTGGTATTTTCCTTCTGACAGTCAGCAGCTGTCCCCCTGTTGAGCTGTGTTCTCTCAAGTATCTTACAGGTATTCACGGGAACTCTAATGTGGTAACACATCAGATGATCTCATGGTGCTTTGAGAAACAGAAACATGAATAGGATGAACAGAAGAAACTTCTTCAAACGTGATTTTGTAACCTCTTAATTTCACAGTGAAATGACTTACCCAAATGATGACTGAGAGTGTGCTAGTAACAAATATCAATATGTAAGAGGGTGCCAAAAAGGGGGGAGATTGTTTAAAGTGACTACACAAGGATGCTATTAGACTGAGGTGGCTCAAATGCCTTGGTAACCAACATAAGCAAGCCTAAGCCCAAGTCAGGTCTAATACCCATTAACACACTCATATGCTAGAAAACGAATTTAAGAGCAACCAATTACGAACACCCACTTAACACTTTTTCAACTCAGGCAGCCACTTAAGTTATAGCCAGTCAAATAATTTTCTTTCTTTCCTTCTGCCTCAGTTCTATAAAAGTCTTTTCCCCAACTTGTGTTCGTAGGGTGCTCCTAACCACTTTTAATTTGGCACTGCTAGATTTGAGTTCATGTTCCCTCAAACAAACTCTTGAAAACATTTTGGTGGGCCTCAGCTTATCTGATTATAAATGATGGTGTATATTTAATTTTTGTTTAATGCCTTCATTGCCAAGTAGATTTTTTGGTTGGTTTTGAATTCTTCAGCATTGATGAACTTTCTTGCTATTTGTAGCAGGGTTTTGGCAGGGTGGGGAGCATACCTTGGAATCAAGAAAATGATACCGTTCATGATAGCATCCAAAAGATGCTATCATGGAATAAATTATCAAGGAATAAATCTGATAAAAATGAGTAAGATTTCTATAGTTAAAACTACAAGTCATCATTAGGAGAAATCAATAAATGATTAGATTATAAAGTTTGGAGACAGTAAGAGTAAATATTTTAAAGATAAGCGGTTGTCTCTAAAGCTATATTCTGTAAAAAAAAAAAAAAAAAATAGATGGGGAAACAATGGAAACAGTGAGAAACTTTATTTTGGGGGGCTCCAAAATCACTGCAGATGGTGACTGCAGCCATGAAATTACAAGATGCTTGCTCCTTGGAAGAAAAATTATGACCAACAAAGACAGCATATTAAAAGCAAAGACAGTACTTTACCAACAAAGGTCTGTCTAGTCAGAGCTATGGTTTTCCCAGTAGTCATGTATGGATGTGACAGTTGGACTATAAAGAAAGCTGAGTGCCAAAGAATTGATGCTTTTGAACTGTGGTGTTGGAGAAGACTCTTGAGAGTCTCTTGGACAGCAAGGAGATCCAACCAGTCCATCCTAAAGGAAATCAGTCCTGAATATTCATTGGAAGGACTGATGCTGAAGCTGAAACTCCAATCCTTTGGCCACCTGATGCGAAGAGCTGAGTCATTTGAAAAGACCCTGATGCTGGGAAAGATTGAAGGCAGGAGGAGAAGGGAACAACAGAGAATGAGATGGTTGGATGGCATCACCAGGTCGATGGACATGAGTTTGAGCAAGCTCTGGGAGTTGGTGATGGACAGGGAAGCCTGGTGTGCTGCAGTCCATGGGGTTGCAAAGAGTCGGACATGACTGAGCAACTGAACTGAAATGAAAAATCTCATTAACATCATGGCAAGGGATTTTGTTTGCTTGATTCCTTGCTAGTTTTATTTCTTCAGTGTTTTGGGGTTTTGGTGGTGGTAGTGATGGTGTGGGAGGACTGCCAAGCTGATATTAAAAGTTCACATGTAAATACTATAGTCTTAGATTTGCCAGTAAAATTTTGAAAAATTAGGAAAAAAGCTGGAAGAAATAAATACAAGATAATGAAAGCTATATGAGTTAATGTTGTGTTACATATTAATCCAGGGTTGTGTTGGCTCAAGTATAGACAAACCACACAACAGAACAAAAAAGAAATTCTAGAAACAGAGCCCCTCACAAATACAACACTCTGGTCTGTAGTGAGACTGCAGAGCAATGGGGGAAAGAGGGTCTTTTCAATGACCCTCAATGACCTAGGGCCACTAGGTCATTTGAATGTCTATTTAAGAAAAGTTACTGTGACACATACTCAAATGTCAATAAAAACCAATTTCAGATGGATTGAACAAATTTAGTAAAATTTAACATTGAAGCAAACCAGGCCTTGGATTTCAACTACTGGATAATCTAAATTTCTTTATCAGATGTACAGCTACACAGATTGTCTATTTTGAGTCAATTTTGGTAAATCATATAGGATAAATCATATGGGCTTTACTGATGGCTCAGAAGATAAAGAATCTGCCTGCAATGTGGGAGACCCGGGCTTGATCCCAGGATTGGGAAGATCCCCTGGAGAAGGAAATGGAAACCCACTCCAGTATTGTTGCCTGGAGAATCCCATGGACCAAGCAGCCTGGTAGGTT